GTCCCCACCCCCGCCCCGGTCTCACTGCTTGGCAGTTTCTACTAAAGCTAATCACGTCTACCCTGTGACTCACAAACTCCACTCGTAGAAACACTGTAGTTCATTCCTCCTCAAATACTGTAGTGAGCCCATTGAGGGCAGGGACCATGTGCTGTACCAGCCCAGGGCCTGGCACTGCGTAGAGGGCACCATTGGTGCTTCATGAATGAATGAATGAATGAACGAATGAGTGAATGAGCAAATGAGAGATTAGCCCATAAATATACACAAGGGAAGGAGTCTTACCTCTAGATATAAACCTCCTGAGGCTCCTCACTCTATTCCAAGGCTGGGCTTTGCCTGAACCAGACCACCCATGTCACCACAGGGTAAATTTTGCCACTTGGGGGAGCCTTGAAGGCCCAGCCAGAGAATTACAGCTTTGGTGAAGGGCCCAGGGTCCTTGGGATGCCCAGTGAGACCTCAGGACAGCCACCATTGGTTATTAAATGAATTAACCCATCAAGGGTTGCCTGGCGGCCTCCTTGACAGCAGGCCCTCCCAGCCACCAGAAGGACAGCACTGCCGGTTTTCACCCTTTTTTGAGCTGGGGACTGGACTTAGCACTTCGCTGAATCTCCCAACATTTGAAAAGAAGAGGGTTCATTGAAGCCTAAAGCGGTTAATCCACGTGCCCAAAGCCACAGGACCCCATGTGAACAGACACAGCGGGGACAGGCACACGGGCCACTCACTGGCGAGTTGGCGAAGCACTGAGATGACGGCAGTGGGCGGGAAGCACCCCTCTGCCTGAGGGATTGCCACAGACTTCCCGGCGCAGCGAGAAAGTAAGTGAGAGCCGGCCAGGTGGACAGCTTTCCCAGGAGAAAGGCCAGCTGGAGAAGAGCTTGTCCGGGGCCCACCTGTGTCCCAGAGCCAGGCCTGTCAGGAGCCACAGTCCAGGTGGGGGAGTGGGGAGCACTGTCCACGCTCCTTCCATCTCCGGGGCACTGCGGGGAAGTAAAGGGGACCCAAGGCCCATGCGGACCAAAGTTTATCAGGATGGCGCCTGACTCAAGGACATTAGAGAAGGTGGCCAGACCTTCAGCGTGGGCTCCTTGACAGGCCCCAGGCGCCCCCACTCCTTACCCATCCTGTCCCTGTCACTGGGTCTCCCGGGCTTGGCGGGAGGGAATAAGGAGCCAGGTGCTTACCTGAAGCCAGGAGCAGGAGGAGTGGGAGAAGCAGGACCTCCAGGGCCCTGGGTGGCACCATCCTTCGCCAGCCTTGCCCGCACTGGTCAGAGCCTTGTGGCTGTGTGTCCTCTGGTCCCAGACTCTGCACAGCCCTTCTGCCCCCACCCTCCGCTGCAGCTTCAGAGCTTCCTGTGGCCTCTTTGTAACTCTTCCTGCTCCATGGCGCCATCGGTTGGGTTGTGAAAGGTGTGGGGAACTGGGCTGTGCTCCCAGTCTCACCCTATTCTGCGACCACCTGCAGAGGGAGACAGACTCGGCAGGAGCTACTGAGCCCACCCAGGGACGCAGCTCCAGGCCCTGCCTGGGAGGGTGCAGTGGGGCTGGGGTCCAGTGGCCACAGAGGCCTCTCCCAGGAGCAGACCGCTGGGGCGTGGTGATGAACACAGGCTTTGGAGTCAGGCACACCTAGCTCAGGCCTTCCTCTTACAAGCTGGGGGCCTCTGTGAGCCTCTGTTTCCTCCTCTGTAAAGCATAGAGCAGTGGGCTGTCTCCCAGGACTGGGTCAGAGTTTGAGGAGACCCATAACACGCTGGGCACACAGCCTGGGGACAGCAGTGAGGAGGGAGACACGGATGGCATTCATGCTCTCTTGCTCACGCCTCTGGTTTGAACAAGGCCAGGCTCAAATCCACGCCTGCCAGGGGCCTAGGAGAAGAGAAAGAGCTGGCCCAGGGACCCTGGCCCTTTCCCACCAGGCTGGGTAACAGGAGAGGCTGGATGGGAGGGGGCAGGGACAAGAGCACTGGCTCTGGGGATTGGCCAGGCCTGGCTGACGTCTGCCCTGGCCACTTCCTGGCTGGAGGAGCTTTCCCTGGCTGGAGGAGCTTTCCCAGGCTGGAGGAGCTTTCCCAGGCTGGAGGAGCTCTCCCTGGCTGGAGGAGCTTTCCCTGGCTGGAGGAGCTTTCCCTGGCTGGAGGAGCTTTCCCAGGCTGGAGGAGCTTTCCCTGGCTGGAGGAGCTTTCCCAGGCTGGAGGAGCTTTCCCCAGCTGGAGGAGCTTTCCCCAGCTGGCCCTTACTCTGAGCCTCTCAGAGGCATGTGGAGAACTCAGGAGATGGTGCCTGTGGAACTGCTCCAGTTAGTTTGCATGGCCATTATCGTCATGATCGTTTTATGATTATCAGTACTGTGAAATCGTTGTCATCATGGCCCAGCCAGTCACGGGGGCCCAGGCAGGAAGTCAGGGCAGCAACACACATGGGGTGTGGCATGAAGGAAGGGAGGGGCTAGCCACTTAGTCCCCAAATCTGGTGGCCCCAGGGAAGCCTGCAGATGAGGCCAGGGTCCTTGGCATGGTTCCACCGCCGCTTTGAGATCAGAAGGTAAAGGGCAACTCTCCCAGAAGGTGCGTGTCACCAGTATCCCCCTCCAGCTTACAGAGCTAGGCCTACTCTCCTCAAATGTGATTTCTTGGGCCAGTGAATTTTTTTGGATTGGCCAAATTTTTTAAATCAAAGGATTTGACATCACCACAATCTGGATTCCTCATTTCTCATAAGGGCAGGTGGTCTGGCTACACGAACTCTCATCCTTGCAATGCAATGACTGGCTGGAGATGAGTAGCAGCTGCTCCCTCCGTGTGGGTTTGTCATTTCCAGTTCACCACAGACCCTACCGCTCCCCAACCAAGTTGCCATTTATCTTCCCCCTTGTCCTGATAAAGTTTCCTGCAGTAGATTTTTTTTCACACACATTCCTCTTCTCTCATTCATGTTTCCCAATCAGTGACTCTTACCAGAAGCAGAGAAGAAAACTTAGGAGGCAATCCTCCAAAATGTTTACATTGATTTGTTAGGTGATGACAACAGCTGATTTTTATTTTCTTTTTCACACTCTTCTACAGTTTCCAAATTCTCTACAATGAACATGTACTTATTTTTAACATCAAAGACAAATGAATTAGTAATCAAAAAGAAAATCCTCCTCCTCTTTAAGGCTGAGATCCAGATCAAATGTTGCCTCTTCCAGGAAGTCTTCTTGGATTCCCAGCCAGGAGGATGACTCCCCTGACCCCATGTCTGTAGCTCCAGGAGCTCTTGTCTCGTGCATGCCTCACACACTAGACTGAGAGCTCGCAAGGGGAGTGACCAGGTATGGCCATCTGTGTCCAGCAGAATTAACTGTGAAGGGCTCCAGGCCAGTGTCACCAGGGGAGATAACGTCTCAGTCTTCAGAGCGCTGGGGTGGAACCAAATTTAGTCTGCTACACTCCGCAGTTCTTGCCACCAGAGGGCTTTGGGAGAGGCAGAGGTCTCCTGAGAGGTATGGGCTTGGCAGTGGTGAACGGGGTGTGCAGCTTAGGTAGAGGCCCAGCTGGACAAATGGACCCAGCCCAGAACATATATACTAAGCCTGAGTCAGGGGCTGGCAAGGCCCGCGCAGGAGATAAAGGTTTACAGTAGGCACCAGGCAGCTCTTGGTAACCATGACCCAAAATACACCAATAGAATTGGGGACCCCGGGCTGCGACTGGAAGACAGGAGCAGGGAGAGAGTGGGCTGGGGAGGCTGATGGAGAAGAAGCCCTGAGCTCAGAGGCAGGGCAGCTGCTGCTGTGTGCTGGCGTGAGGGGAGGCCCTCCTCCCCTAGAGGTCTGAAGCTTGGCCCCAACCCCTTTTGCCCTGGATGCCACCCTTGGGTTAAAATGACAGGGGCTGCAAAGTACCCTCCTGGTGGTCACCAGAAACAGAATAGCTATGGCACATTTCTGTCCTAGGTAGGGGTACAGGGCCAAAGATGTTGCCAGGCCTCCAAGGTCCATGACCTGACTCTGGGGCCTGCGCTTCCCAACCCCCAGCCACGGGGGCTGAGCCCAGGGCAGGCGAGTTAAGTCGCCTTCAGCTCCAGCGTAGGACGGCTAGGAGGATGGTCCCACTCCTGAGCCCCTTGAGAGTGAACCTGAGAGTCCAGTGGTCCGCGGGCCAATTCAGAAGGCCCAGCCTGGGAGTCCGGCCGCCGTGGTGACAGCTCCCACCCTCTGAGGTCCTCGGGCCTCCTCAAGTCTCTGGCTAACCTGCCGGTGGCCAGGCCCAGCTGCGGGGGCCGCAGGCTGTGGTGAGGAGAGGCCGCACCGCTGCTTCCTCACACGGGGTGGCTGGCGACCTAGATGCAGCTGGACGAGGTGCTGCCCGTGTTGATGGGGAGCCTGGAGCTGTCCGAGCTGCTCTTCAGAGGCGAGGGCCCGCCCTGCGCCTGCAGCCGCATGGACCAGTACCAGAGGAAGATGAGGAGGCCTGTGGGCACGGGGGACATGGGGCTCAGCACCTGGCTCAGCAGCCCCTCCCCGACTTCTCCCTCCCAGAGTCGCCTTGACTCAGATCTGCCCCCTGCTCCCTTCAGGACACAGGCTACTGGCACCGATGTGACCCAGGGGTCACCTCTGATGTGCCAGGCCCTGTGCAATTCACTATGTGCCACCTCACTTCGTTCTCTTGATGTTCCTACGAGATCAGGCCCATTCAATACTATTTTGTGTTACAAATGAGGAAATTGAGGCCCAGGGCAGTAAGGGGACTCGGCTGAGCCAGGAGTCAAACAGCAGTGGTTGGGCTCTGGAGCCCATGTGCTTAATCATTGCTCTTCTCCAAATAATTATACTATATTATAATAGGTGCTCAATAAACACTGTTGACTGTGGCCTGGATGCCCCCATCTTGTGAATGGGAAAACTTAGGCCCAGAGAAGGCCCTTCAGATTGCCCGGGTCATCTCTCCCCTGCCCTGTGCTCCACATATGGGCAACCCGCCCAGGCCAAGGGTAGGGTCTTCTCCATGCCTACCTTGGAAGGAGGTGATGATGCTGAAGAAATAGAGGACAACAAGCTGGAAGGTGCCGGAAGCAAAGGAGAAGAAGACCAAGGCCCAGGGCAGGCCGAGGACCAGGCTGAGGCCCAGCAGCGTCAGCACGTGGGGCCACTTCGGGGTGTGCGGACGTAGCCGCAGGATCTGCACCACCATTGTGCCCAGCATGGCGGCGTTGAACAGAAACACCAGGCTGAAGAGGCCCAGGTTGGTGATGTGGCTGACCAGGGAGTCCCGGATCCAGCACCTGTGGGCCAGGCGTGAGGGCTCAGAGGGTGGCGGCTCAGCGCATGGCTGGGCGGGCACAGCGAGCTACAGGGGCACCGCTGCAACCACCATCGGCTCATGGGGTGAAAGACTCACCCTCTTCTCAATCCCTTTAGCCAAAGAAAGGCTCTGTTTGGTGCTAACGTGTTTTTAATGCCTCTAACGTTGCTAGTCTCCCTTTTCAACCATGAGCCAGCCTCCGGTTCAGAGCCTTCAGCCAGCATTTAGTACCAGGGTTTCCTTGCTCCTGTGTTTATTTTTATGACTACTCACTGTTTCGGACAGTGATGCTTGTTTCCTACTTGTACTTGATATAATAATTTTTAAAAATATATTTAAATTGCCCAGCCAGCATCGCTCAGTAGTTGAGCATTGACCCATGAGCCTGGAGGTCACGGTTCGATTCCTGGTCAGGGCACATGTCTGGGTTGCGGGGTTGATCCCCAGTAGGCGGCGTGCAGGAGGCAGCTGATCAATGACTCTCATCATTGATGTTTCTCTCTCTCCCTCTCCCGTCCTCTCTCTGAAATCAGTAAAAATGTATTTTAAAATACATATATTTAAATTAACAAGTTGGACAATTTCAAGGAAAATATTAAGCAAGTAATAGTATAGATGGGACAAAAGTGAAGCACCTCAAGGCCCAAATTCCTACCCCCACCACACACAGCCACTCACATGGAAGGATAGATGACACTCTCTGGAGTCCTGTGCACAGATAGGATGATGGAGCCATAGTTGTTAATGTCCACCAGTGCCACCAGTGTCACCAGGAAGGTGGGGAAGCCTGTGGACAGCAAAGCATGAAGCTCCATCTCCCACCCTGTGAAGCTCACCCCTCCCCTGCCTTCTGGTGAGAAGTTCTCTCAGGCCTGTGCTCCCAGAGCCCAACCAGTCCCATCTGGGGTAGGTCTTCCAAGCTCGTTCCCTCTGCTTCTCCACTCCAGTTTGGGTTTTCCATAGAGAAAGCCCATCTTTCCTGACCTTACCCCTGCCCCCTCACCATCCCAGGGGCTCCTGGGTGAAAGGACCTGCAGGTCCTCACTGGGGGCTAGATGTCACAAAGAAAATGGGAAGAGCAAACCGGACACTGGTGGGGTGGAGGACAGCTCAAAGGGAAGTCCAGAGTTCTGCCCCCAGGGGATGTCTGCACTGGGTCTTGACCCAGCCAAGGTAAAGAACCCCTGAGCCCAGCTGGTGTCACTCAGTAGTTGAGTGTCGACCCACGTGCCAAGAGGTTGCCGGTTTGATTTCCCCTCAGGGCACATGCCCAGGTTGCAGCTCGATCCCCAGTAGGGAGAGCGCAGGAGGCACCCGACTGATGATGTTTCTCTCTCATCAATGTTTCTCTCTCTCTCTCCCTCTCCCTTCCTCTCTGTCTAAAATCAATAAAAACTTATTGAAAAAGAAGCCCCGAGGATGGGGGTAGGGGTGCAGGCAACAGCGAGGAAGCAGTGAGGGGGTGGGTGGAGACGCACAGGGAGGCGCCTGTGTTTGGCCAGACGCCGAGGCAGCCTGGGGGCCCATCGGCACCCTCCTCCAACTTACCCCAGCCCACAACGCTCAGCTTGAGCAGGTAGCCAGGGACATAGGTGCCGAAGACCTCGACCACCAGTCGGTAGAGGTTGTAGCCCTCGAGGCCCATCCAAGAGAGGCAGGCGAGCAGGGAGAAGTGTAGGAAGATGGCGCTGGCACGGCAGCCATCCTCAGAGCCTGTCAGGGCCACCGGCTCGCTGAGCAGGAAGCTCACATCCAGCAGGAAGACGGCCAGCAGCAGGTTCATGTGCACTTTGATGGTATAATCTCGAGTGTTCCTCCTGCAGGGGGTGGGGGGGACAAGGGGGAAGGGTTGCCCTGTGACCAGCATGGGAAGGGGTATTACCCACTCCTCCTCCTCCAGGCAGCCTTCCCAGGCTACACACACACACACACACACACACATCTCCAGGGCAGGTCTCCATGGTGGTGGGGTCCCAGGCTGGGGGCTTGGGATGGAGGGTCTCCCTCCCCTCTACCCACTCCCTCTCAGGTCCTACCTGGAGCAGAGATAGGCGGCAATGGTGAGGACGCAGGCCAGGGCAGAGATGACACAGCCCACATAGGAGAGGAGGGTCAGGTAGTGCTTGTGCACGGCGTCCACTTCCAAGGAGGCCACCTGGGTCCACAAGACAGGTCAGGGCTGGCCTCAGTGTCCCCTCTGGATGAGCCTGTGGTCCCTGGGTGGGCCTTGGGAGTCTATGAGCCACCTCCCCAGACTGAGCTGACTGCTGTCCCATGAGTGCATTTTTCTGGAGGCAGGTCTATAGGTTTCACCACGTTCTCCAAAGGCCAGGAGCCCTCACCAGATAACCCTCTCCTGTCCTGGCACTAATTCGTTTTCTACAACATTCAACACAAGAGTGTGTTCTCTGTGAGGGAGAAAGTACCCACCCCCAGGAAGCGCTGAAGGCCACTGTGGTCCCTCAGACACTGGGTCCTAAGATTCTGGGGACAAGGACCTTGGACACCAAGCTTCTGAGATCTCAGGGACACTGACACCCACCTCAAGGGTCTCCACACGGGGCCTCAGTACCCCCCTGGAAGACTCATTAGAAATATACTCCCTGGCCCCACCCCAGCCCTGTGGATTCAGAATTCTAGGTTAGGGCCAGGAATCTGCATTTTTATCATGCTCCAAAAGTTGGCAATAAGCAGCAAGGGCTGTAGAGACCAGCTCCTTTACTTATTAGCTGTGGCCTTGGGTAAATTGCTTAACATCTCTGAGCCGCAATTTTATTATCTATAAGATGGGACAACAGGAGCTACCTCGGGGTCGTTGTGAGGAATGGATGACACACTGTCTGAGAAGGGGCTGGCTGTTGTAGGGCTGCAGGGCAGGAGGGCGACCACTCACCATCAGAACTGCAAAGTAGGTCAGGTGGTTGCAAAGGCAGGACGTCTGTGTCTCTTTCCTGATGGTCTCGCACCCCGCACTGCTCCAGCTCCCTGGGGTACTCACTGAGGAAGGGACAGTGTGGTGCTCTGATCAAGCCCGGTCCCCCAGGGCCTCACTGTGCCCCCAAATGCATGAATGTATCACTCTTCTGAGCCTTTGTTCCACCTGGCAGATCCCTCGTCAGCTATCACGCCCTCTTCAAAGCCCATCTTTCTCCAGGAAGCCCTCCCTGATTGATCCTATGTCCCCTACCAGCCAAGACTGCTTTCTCCTCCAGATATGTGCCCAATGCAGAGGACCCTCCACACTCACATGCCGGGTCTCCGACCCAGAAGACACACTGTAGAGTCACGTTCTTCTGTAGGGACAAGAAGGGAGAGTGGATCCCATTACAGTCCACCCCTTCATGGGCCAGACTGAGGAAGTTGGTGTCAGGCCACCACCCCACTGGACCCCACTGGCTGGTGCCCTCAGCCAGTCAATCATCTTGTTAAAGACCAATGATTCTGAAGAGAGGAGGAGGAGAGGAAAACCCAGCCAAAGGGAGCCCTTCCTCTCCTTGGTTGTTTTGCTCACACTCACCGGCTGCGGCTGGTGCTGGAACGTGAGTACCACGGGCTCTGAGAGGTTGGCTACTTTGGTGTTCGGCACAACAATGCCCAAGACCTTCTCACCCAAGACTTGGCTAAAATTCTTGTCCTAGATATTTGGGTGGGGAGAGAGTAAGGAGGGGACTTAGGGCTGAAAAGAAAGACCCAGAAGTCCCCTAGGCTCTCTAGGCTCCTGTCTCTGCCATGCCGGGTCTCCCTCTGAAAACAATTATTGCACATGTGGTCATTTACACTATAGTGAGAACAACACCATTTAGACCTTCCCCAGGGAGGTTTGCATGTTGCAGTCCAATTTCTGACTTCACAAGGAAAGGTTCTGACTCCTGGAGGAGGGGGCTGGGCTCCATGCCTTCCTTCCATCTTTCTGTCAGACAGTCGCTGCTTCTCCCAGGGGAGGGCAGCAGATGAGGGCCCCGTACCTGGAATAGGGCTTGACTGCTGAAGTCCACCAGGAGGAGTCTCTTGGCAGACTCCTTCCTCCGGCCTTTGGTCTGGAAGAGCACGCGGGGCAGCAACACTGAGTACTCCAGGATCTCACTCTGCTCCTCCTGCAGACCAGAGCGCCCTTAGGGCTCAGCCAGAGATGGACCCCCGGACACCCTCCACCCCTCTTCCCCCACACACACCTTCCTGGATGCTGCTATCTCTACGCACACCTCCTTCAGGAAGCATGCCTGACTCACACCAGCCCTCCTCACCCCCTCCTTTGTTTGGCACCAGCATTAGTAGGCTTCAGACGCCAACTCTGCCTATAGCATCCTGGTGTGGTAGGATGTGGGTGGCTCCCAGCTCACCAGGCCCATTCGAGAGGCCATCTCAGGACTGGGGTGCATGCACAGGCATTTTGGGGTTAGGCTTCTGTTGACATAGGGGTGCCACAGGAGCAGGGAGCAGACCCCCTCTGTCCCCCCCTCACTGTGCCAGCAAGGGTCCTCAGTGCCACAGGGTAGCCCCTGACTGAGGATATTCCTTGAGCCTGGCTCCTGCCGCATCAGCACACATCTGGCCCCCGGAGGCCGGCAGGGGCGTGCTCAAGGCCTCCACACCTGCTTCCTGCCCTGGCCTGCCAAATCCCGAGCCCTGACCTCCTGCCTGGAGTGGATGTGCAGGTCCTGGAGGCCGGCTGTGGGCTGGAGCTTCCACACTGTGGCGTTGACCTGATCCTCCTCAAAGGACACCGTGTCCCCTGTGAACCTCAGGGAGGTCAGCTTCGACTCCAGGCTCTGCAGCTGCCTGGCAGGGGGGAGAGAGGGTGGGTGACTACTGGGGAGAGGATCCGGGCCAGCAAGCAGGGAGCCAAAGGGAGATACAAAGGAAAGAGACCCATGGAGAGAGGGGAAAGAGGGTCAGGAGAGAAAAACAGCCTGACGAGTGTGGGACAGACAATGGCTTGCGGGAAGGAGAGGGGAAGAGGGAACATCCCGGCAAACAGGAAAGGAGAGGGTGGGGTGGGGGCTATCCTGGTCCGGTTCTGCCTGGCCCCAGCCACTCTGCAGCCATGGAGCAGCCCTGCCATCTCTGGGCTGCAGGTTGTAAATGGGCCCATCATTTCTCCTTTCCTGCTGGGGAGGGGGTCCGCATACTGTCCTGGGACAGCGGGTGTGATACCTGTCTGCACCGACTCAGGGCTGGGGCTTGGCCTGCAGGCTGTGTCCAGGCTCCTCCAGGAGGAGACGGGAAGATGGGAATGGTCCAGCCCCAGGGGACATCTCCACCCCGGCCTCCTACCCCAGGTCCCTGGCCTGCCCAGGTCCAGGTCCAGGTCCAGGTCCAGGGGATGCCCCTCCCCAACCGCCCCACGCTGAGGGCCACACTCACTGGCTGGCGAGGCTCGGGGTAGACGAGGGCCTCCTTGAGTTCTTATGAGGAGTCTTCAGAAGCTGGCTGAGCAGCTGGAGGTCCCGTTTCAGCTCGCATATGTCTACCGAGGCATTGTGGGAGGCCTTCTGGGGAGGATCTGGGGGACAGGCAGACCCACCTGAGGCTATGGCGGAGGTCCATGCCACACTCATGATCCTCTCAACCCTCCCACGACTCTGAAAGATTCAGTCCCACTTTATGGAAGAGGAAACTCAGGCTCCACCAGGTGGGGTGGGTTCCCCAAAGTCACTCAGAGATGAGGCCAGCGAGACAGGAACCTCCAGCAACTGCAGCCCCAGCAGGGTGACATGGGACACAACCACCCAGGTGCCCTTCTTGGTGGTTCTGGGGACTCCATACCCCCAGCCTCCCTGACCCTAGGTTCCAGGCCCTCCACCTGGGTACACTGCACCCCAGTGCTGCAGACTTTGGTGTTTCTAGTGGTCAGATGGGCCTAAGATGAGGTAGGTAGATGGAGCTGGGAATATGTTGGGGGTGGAGGGCATGCCCTGTGCCATCAAGGAAGGTAGGCCCTGGGTGGCCTCATCTGAATTTATAAGGAGAAAGCCTAATTTTTAGGTGATTCGAAACCTGTGGCTCATATTTTAAAAAAGCCTCTCTATAGGCCAGATAAGACCAGGCAAGATCTGTTCTTCAGGATGCTGATTTACAGCTGGGCCTGACTGTCCTACACCCTCCCAGGAGGGGGCAGAATCCCAGCCTGGTGGTTAGGTACCCCATTGACTACCTGGGCCCATCTGCTGCACTGGACAGCACCTGGGCCAGAAGCCAGCTCACTCCTGCCACCCCCAGCATTTTCATGGCCTGGAGCTGCTAATATCTTCCAAGTACTGTGCCCCCCACCCCCTATTCCCAGGAACCCCCAACCCAAACCAGAGCTGCCTGGAAGGAACAGAATCAGGTAAATCCTAGACCCTGCCCAATAAGGCCTCCAGCTCCTCTGGCTACCCTCTCTTCCCTGACTCCATCCAGCACTTAATGGGAGATGGGGCCACATCACACCTGTCACACCCCAGGTGGCACATGCAGTCTCCACCCCTCAGAGTCAGTCTCACTGCTTTCTCCACCCACCCTCAAGCCAATCAGCTGCTGGGTTCCCATCTTGGCTTCCTCACTTACTAACTGTACAACTTTGTGCCTCTCTGTGCCTCAGTTTCCCCCTCTATGAAATGGGGACAAACACTCTATAATGTTGCTGATGAAGCAGAATTTTCCCTCTGGATCCTGACAGCCAGTCCCTTCTTTTCATTCACTCTGTTCCCACCACCTTCCTTCACCTGGACCTTTCCTATAGCCTCTGGATGGGACTTTTCCCCCTCCACCCTCACTCCTACCCTCCCACAAACCTCCTGAAGCACACACCTTGGATCACACTCTCCCCCTCCTCACACACCTTCAATGGCTCCCCACTGCCTGTGAACAAAGCCCAAGCTCCACAAGCCAACCTTCAGACCCTGTCCACTCTCAAGCCTGCCTTGTGCTCTTCTTCCCTGTCTCAGGGCCTTTGCCCAAGCTGCTCCTGCTTGGCTTACTGTGGAAGGAGAAGGTGAAGCCAGCAGCACTGGGCAAGCTGGTGTTCTGGGGGCTCCACCAGGATCTGACAGAGGTGGCGAACATCGGGGGGCCCTGGGCCAGGATCTCCTCCTGGTTCCCGAAGCACAGGAGGCCAGAGGCTTGGTCACTCAGCAAGAAGTCTTTCTTGCCGTAAAGAAGGTGCAATTTCCCAGCGTGGCGGTTCCAGGAGAGGCAGAAATGGTAGAGGCCCCTGGGCTCAGGGAAGACTTGGGAAGCCGAGGAAACTGCGAGGAAGGGGGCATGGATGGTGAGGGCCCCCTCGGAGTTCTCGATGGAGATGCGCAGCTGTGTCCATGGCTCATAACGGAGGCTGCTCCTCTGCGTCTGGTTCCTCTGGCCGCAGAAGCGAAAGTCTTCCCTTAGGCCCCCATCACGGGCACCTGAGGAGGCAGAGGCCACAGATGGGACTCAGGGCAGGGGCCAGGCCCTGGGCCCAGAACACAGGAGCCCAGCGCCTGGGGCCCACACACACTCCCAAGGCCTATACCTCAAAGGATCTACAAAAATTGTGCCATCCCTGTTGAAAAATTACTGGTTTCAAAATATGAAAAGAGTAAACTCAAAATTCATAATAATTTCAAAGACAAAATACTTGAAAATGGCAATAGGGCCTTTGATGAGGCCGGGCCTGCTCTAGGGAGCTGTGCAAGTGGATGCTGCACACAGATGCTCCGGCTCCAGAAGCGAGTGGGGCCGAAACCCAGCCCATGTTCCCGCCCCAAGCTGTACACTGGGCAACCTCGTCTGCCACAGAGGAGTGCCTTTCTCTTTTCTCCCAGGTATCATCCACTTGCTAAGCTGCGTCTGCAGGCCTGTGCCTGCCCAAAGGGCTTAGTAGATGTACTGGGATTTGTGCTACACATGGGGGCATTTTAATGCAAGTCACAACCGTCCCGGAAAAGCCTACCTTGAACCAGGAGGAGCAGACTCAGCAGGAGTGGCACTGTCTGCACCAGCATTTGGGCAGCCATCTTCCTCCTCAGAAGTCCCCCTGAGAAGTCACCGCCTGAAAAACACCAGAGGTGTTAGCCAGGGGCCTGGCCCACAGGGTGGCCGGGCCAGCCCTGCAGAGGGGGAGGACAGTGTAGCATGTGGGATGTGAGGAGGGGAGGCAAGTGTGGAAACAGTCCGTGGACCACCCCAGACCGGCCTGAAACTGAGCAACAAGAGGCTATGGCTGTCCAGAGCCGGGCCAAGTTCAAGGCCTGGCTCCGCCTCTTGCTTGCCACAGGACCCTGGATAAGTCACCGAAAATGGGGCCAATAATGGTACCTCCCGCTGGCCCCAGCAGTGGTAGGGTCATCTCAGCTAGAAACTGATGGGGAAGGCTCCACAGCACCACCTGGAACAACCTGGAGGAGACACAGGAAAAAGGGGGCTCTCAGAGTTCTCCCCCAGGCACCTCACCATCACCATCCCTGAGACCCAGCTCAGAGGACACCAGCTTCAGGGAGCCATCCTCAGCTCCCTCTGCTGGCGGCCCCTCCTCAGCCAGCCAGGGAGCTCCTCCCTAATCCATCTCTGTGGACAGGGCCCAGGAGGTTGCTGGGCCAGGGCTGGGTGGGTGAACAAGGGAAGGAAAAGAGTGAAGAACCAGCGTGCCCATGGCGCCCTCTACAGGGGTCGGAGGGGAAAGGTGCTTCCCATCATGACCATCAGGGAGAGCCCTTTTCCAGGGCTCCAGGCAACTGGAACCCAGGTGGGACATCCCAACCTGAAGGGTAGACACTCAACCTTATGGCTCGAGTTGGGGATGGCCCAGCTACACTCACCTCTACCTACACCCTGACTTACAGGGGGCACTTCTGACCCACTATGGCCTCTATTAGCTGAGCATCTACTACCTGCCAGCCTGTACTGATCCATCCCACCCTCAAACCTATATATGTGTGTGTGTGTGTGTGTGTGTGTGTGTGTGTGTATTTATATATATATTGTTGTTGTTGTTAATCTTCACCCTAGGATATTTTTTCCATCGATCTTTAGAGACAGAGGGAGGGAGGAGAAAGAGAGAGAGAACGAGAGAGAAACATCAAAGTGAGAGAGACACATCAATTGGTTGCCTCCTGCAAAAGCCCTGATTGGGGTAGGGATCAAACCAGCAACCCAGGTACATGCCCTTCACGGGGAACTGAACCCAAGACCCTTCGGTGCACAGGCCGATGCTCCAACCACTGAGTCACACTGGCCAGGGCCCTGTTACCTATGTTAATCTTCACTCCAACCCTGTGAAGTGGGCCATAGTGAGGTCCAAGGGGTTAAATGACTTACTCCAGAGGCCAGGAGCTTTTCCTGCCTGGTCAGAACTGCAGTGCCTGGCAGGGAACCTGTGTGCCTGGCACGCATAGAGAGATGCCAGGTGGCTTGGTCTTCCCCACTGCCATCTGGCACTGTGACCAAATTGGGTGGTGCCAGACACAGACAGGCACCCTCCTCTCCTACAGGGAATAGCATATGGTCATGGTGACAAGTGCAATCACCTGCCACAAGTTGGGCAAAGGGGAGCCTGGCAACCTAGGGGCACATGAGGAATCTGAGTTTGAGAGAAACCAAGGAGGGCTCCCAGGAAGAGGTGGCTTCTGGATGGACTATTTGAGGGTAGTGTTAAAGGGAGGGGTGGCCCAGGCAGGAGCTCACTGTCTCCAGCTTGGGCTGGGCCTTCTTCTAACTAGCCTGGCCCCCTCAAGTTAGAGCGAGTCTCCTATGTCCTACCATGTGTAATGGAATCCTAATTTCTTGGGCCTTATCAGTCCAATCATGGGCCAATCAGGCTCATCATCCTGCCCTGATGGCATCACAGGACCCCTTAGAAGAAGGATGTGAAAGTGGTTTAAGAACGGCCGCTGTTTCGTAGGTTGTGATATTTAAGGCTTCACTCTGCTGCCTCTCTGAGCATTTTGACTCTTTGCCACCCCGGACCAGCGGAAGGAAGCCCAGCATCTGGGACAGAAATATGTCCCTTCTGGACCCCATCTTTCCTTCTCCTTCCTGCCAGTCTCTGTCACTGCCTACCTCTGACTCCCAATCCAAATGTCACCTCTTCCAGGCAGCCTTCCTTGCTGTGACCTCTGCTCTACACTTGTAAACTCGTAGTTCACAGATCCCTTTGAGAATCTGGCCCAAATTCTCCATGTTATGGCTTTTAGATTTGAGGCCTAGAGAGGGCCAATGACTTCCGGACATCGCACAGCAAGTAAAGATGGAGCTGGCCAGAAGGTCTGTATCTCTCTAGCATGCTGATCTTCAATGTGAATTACCACTGTCAGTAGACAAGATCCCAGGAAAGGGTAGAATCATCCACTTTGCATCAACCCTCCTGCATTGGCCCTTGAGACAGAGAGTGAGCTCCCCATCAACGGAGGGACACAAGAGAGGCTATACAACCATGGTGTACATGAAAGGGATTCAAATACAGACAAGGAAGGGACCAACCACATGACCCTGACAATTCCTCGCACATCCCCACTCTACCCTGACTGAACAGCAGCTCCAAGGTGGACAACTCTGTCCCCATTGACATTCTTGGGATTTGAGGGGAAGGGGCTGCCTGGCTTCCTTTAAGCCACTGTTAGTGGGGTAGGCTCTGGAGTCAGACCGCCTGGGTTCAAATCCCAGTTCCCCCAGTCACTAACTGTGTGTCCCTGGACTAGTTCCTCACCCTCTCTGGGTCTGTTTCCTCATCTGTAAATAAGACTAAAAATTGAGCCTGCTTCAACAGTCACTGAGAGAATTAAATGAATTGATGCCCGGAAAGGGCTTAGAACAGGGCCATGCATGAGGTCAGCTAAACATCTCTGTATACTTTCTGACCAGCTCATGCCTGCCCTAGGCTGTCACAGGCTCTCACTGCTTCACGCAGCCCCCCCAGAGCCCCCCCATGCCCTGCCCTCTGGCCTCCAGGGCCAGCTCAACCTCTATAGCACCTTTCAGGAAATTCTTAGAGCATGAAACTTCCTTTCCGGGAGCGCAATGGGAAGACTGAAACCCCACCCAGAAAAGTTCCCTCCTTACTGCCCGGGCCTGAGGCTGCCCATAGAACCCTCTGAGGAACAGGAGAGCAGACCAGGGACCAGGAGAAGGTCCCAACTCAGATCAGGCAGAGGGAGGGCACTGTCCTGCTTGTGCACTGGGCACTACCCCCTCCCCACCCCCCACTACAGCCCTTCCCCCTGCCCGGCTCACCTGCCACCCCATGCAGCCCACTCAGAGGGTGCAGTCAGTACCATGACAAGGGTCACACAGTCCCAGCACCTCCAGCAGGGCTGCAGAATGCCCCGCTCCCCACTCCGGGTGCCCCCCCCCGACTCAGCCAGGAAGGAGGGGGCCTGTGCTCTGAAGGCCGAAACTGCATGAACCTCCACACCGACCACATGGCCAGAACCTTGTCTCTGGTCTCTGGAGCTGTGGACTCACAGAGCTGGGCAGGCCTGGGCCGTCAAATACTCTTAGAGCCAAACCCTGATCCCCAGGCTGGACACCCATCTACCCTCACACATCACAGGACAGAGCCCGGGAGTGGATGAGACAGAGATTCTCACAATGATACCTAAATGATAACAGCCGTAGCACCCTCTACACTAGCACGTGAAATCCTCCGAGCCCCCCTGAGAGGCGGGTCCTCCTGCTTTGCCATTTTGCGGATGGGCAAACTGAGGCTCCCCCAGAGAGCCCCCACCCCCAGCTCCCTTCCAGAGCAGCTGCCCTTGACCTCTGGCTTTCTGTAAATGCATGCAGAGCTTGACGCACGGGAGCCACCATCACAGGGTCCCCAAGCACCCAGGCAGAGCAGCAGGTAGCCAGGGCTTGTCTGGGCCCAGGAGAGGGGGTTCTGGTTCCAACTCAGGCGCAGCCCTGCCCATCCTCGCAGTGCGGGGCGGGCCCTCCCCCCCACAATGGGCAGGAGACCCACTGCTCACTTTCTCCCCCGGGGGTCTGAGTCACTTCCTCTGCCAGCCGTGTCCAGCCACGAGTCCCCGCTAGCCCAGTCCAGGCTCCTGGAAAACCCATTTCCTCAGAGGATAGAGGAGGAAGTTGAGTGGACAAGACCTGGGGTTAACCCTTCCCCGGCGGGCGCCTCTCCATTAAGATGCCCAAGGCCTGGTCCCCACTCCTTTCCTTCTCCTTCCCTTTATGTACACTATGGACCACACCTCACCTTCAGTGTCCCCTTGCCTATCCCTGCGGCAATTCAACTCATTTTTTGTCACTTAAGACACACCCTCTCCTTGAAGCTCTACCTAACCTCTCATCCCCCATCAGAATTAACTTCTGAATTCTTGAGGGGGGGTTACCATGGTCCACACTGAACCCTGTATGTCCCCCATTGTCACAAGAGTTCACACTGGAAGTGTTCAAACCTGCCTGTGATCTGGGTCAGAACCCTCCCCAGCACCCTGCTCCCTGGGAGTTGACTAAAATGCATTTTCATAGCCCCACACACTGAGGTTAGCACTTAGCAGGTCTGGGGTGGGACTGGGGAGCTGGCTTTAACAAGCGTCCCATTGATTGACACTCCACAGGCTTGGGAACCACTGGTGACAAGTCTGGGATAAAACCAGGAGCCCTGTTTTATAGAGAAAGTCAGAGAGGGGTGGGGCCTGGCCTCAGATCACTCAACTGGTAAATGGCAGAGCCGGGACTGGGGACCAGGCAGCCCATGTCCAGGCAGGACTTCTTCTCAACCCGGTGTCACACTTTCTGAGACCTAGAAGAGGTTTCCCAAAAGATAGCTGGCAGAGTGAGGGTGTGGGCGGTGAGAAGGAGCCAAGGCAGGAGGGACCCCCAGTGGGTTTTCAGGTATGAGTCTGGTCTTGCCCCCCTGAGGTTGGCCCTGAGGAGGGGGAGGGAGGCTCCTCAGACAGGCCTCCAAGGCCAGCTGGAGACAGGAGTTAGATCAGAGTAGGGTGGGTCACCCTTGCAGGTGTTTCCTTAGTGGGGGGTGGGGCAGGGGGCTGAGAGGACCCTCCACCAGCAGTTTCCAACTATTTTATAAGTCAATCTGACTTAGAAACACCTGCACCCAGCACATCAAAGGAGGTACCCCCATCACCCTGTGGGATCCAGGGCCACACCCCACTCCCAGCCCATCCCCCAGCCCAGGGCTACCGGGAGCACAGCCCCAGGACACGGAGCCCCTCTGTCCTCTTTCTATTCTCGCTCCTGAGAAGGGTAGCTGAGGCCCAGGCTAGGTGATCACACAGAGCCTCCCCCCAGGAAGGGTGACCAGGCATTGCTGCGGGAAACAGTGATTTCAGGTTTCAGGAATTTTTCTACAATAAAGGGGAATAAAACTGAAGCAAACAGCCTTCCCCAGGGACTGGCAAATGTCACAGCCTGGTACACTCATTGCCCA